GCGTCGCCCCGCCCCCCCACCCCTCCAGCTGCTGCTCACCAGGTAGAGGTGGGGGAAGATGCGGGAGGCGCGATCTTGCTGGGCCATGAGCAACAGCATCTGGTTGTCGATGAAGTCGCGGTACTGTTCCAGCGGCCGGCCCAGGCGCAACTCCAGGGCCTGGCGGATCTGCAGGCAGAGCCACAGGGGCGCCGAGGCTCAGGGGGTCCCTTGCGAGTGTCCTGATGCCCGACCCTTCCCTCTGGGGCCTCAGAGGGCGCACCCGTCCCATCTGGACAGAGGAGCTGAGCCAGGCGTGGGGGCCTGGCTCAGGGCAGGAGGCAAGCAAGGTGGGAAGAAAGAGAGGAAAGCTCTGCCCCAGGTGGAGGACCGCCCCCCACCCCCCACCTGGGGCCCAGCTCCCTCCTCACCCCTGCTCCTCCCCAGCACCAGCCCACCTCTTTGGGTTTTCTGTGTTTTTGGTTGTTTTTTTTTTTTAAAGTAAGCCCCACGCCCAAGGTGGGGCTTGAACTCATGACCCTGAGACCCCGAGCCAGCCGGGCGCCCCCCAGCCCACCTCTTTGGAAGTGACGCTCTCCAGGTCACTGGTGTCCAGCACATCCCACAGCTCAGCCCGGATCGCCTGCTCCATCTGCTCCTGTTCTGAGGGCCTGGGAGCCGAGCCCGTCAGTCCAGGGACACCTTCCCCACTCTGCTGCGACACCCTCCCTCTCCTCCCCTCCCTGCACTGACCGGCCAGGCTTGGCGCTGGGAGGCCGCAGAGACTCCAGGTCGGCCATGGCCATCCACTCGTTGAGGCAGCTCTGGTCGGAGCTCAGTCTGTCCTGATAGTGTCCAGCCCAGGTCAGGGCACTGCCCCCCGGCACAAGGCCACTGCCGAGGGCCGCCTCACATGCCTGGTGTAGCACCTGGAGTGTGGCCCTAGGACAGGGGAGAGGCTGGATCACACTGGCCTCCCTGCCACCCCTCCCCAGCCCCTCAGCCATCCCTGAGAAGAGGATGGGCCACCCTAACCCTTACCACATGGTCTGGATGGAGATGGGCTTGAAGATCCGGCTCTGCCCACCAGACGTCACGCTGAAGCCCCTGAGGGAGATCGGGCGGGGGTAGAACCCAACTCCAGGCTCTGGCACAGAGCCCCCTGAGAGGCCAAGCCACTAGCTACCTCGTGAGGCTGCTCCACAGAATGTACACACATCACTGGGCTTCAAGACAAGCCCCATTTGCCAGATATGGGGTAGCTGAGGCCCAGAGAAGCTAGGTGACTTGCCTAGGTTCACACAGCAAACCAGAGATGGAGCTGAGTAGGCCCAGGCGCCAGATGCCCAGCCCAGAGTTCTCCCACGGCTCCCCAGTGCCCAGCTGCCCCATCATACACATCGCCCCGCTGGCCCCACCCCTCCCCTCTCTCCTCCCCCTAGCTGCCACCTCTTACCCATCTCCATCTAGGTACACCTGGGTGTCACTCCAGAGAGGCAAGACCAGGCCCAGGGTGCAGCTGGGGGAACTGGTAGGGGACAGAAGAAAAGCCACTGTCCCCCAGCATCTCACTTCCCCGCCCCCACCCCCCTTCCTCTCCCTGCTCCCACCTGCTATCGGGGAAGTCCACCCCCAGGAGGACGGTCTCATCCCGGCTCAGGTGTTCTCGTGTGGAAACTACCAGCAGGTAGCGGAGCCGGGGGGGCCGGGCTGCTTCCAGCTGGGCTGCCTGGGGGAGATAAGGAGGGAGAAGCCCAGGGTCACAGTGGCCCCAGAAGACCCTGCACCCCCCACCCCCGCCTGACACAGTCCTGGGCCTAGAACAGACATGCTGCCCGCCCTCCTCTTCTCAGACACCAGATTGGTGGTTATAATCTGATGGTTCCCCACTTGTGGATTTCACGGTCCCACAAAATGTTTAAGAAGATTTTTCTTAAAGGGGGTATGTGTGGAAAAAAGGGGAGAATGGGCCTGACACAGATTGCCCGTTTTCAATTTCTGCCTAGGAAGGAGGCTTAGAAAAAAAACCTTTGCACTTGCCATCACCATCACTGGATTCAAGAAAGGTTTCTCACCCAAGAAATACTAAGGACTCGATCCCGCAATGAAGGATGGTATTTCAGTGGAATAAATTCAGCTTTAGAGAGACCGCCTGCTTTTGTTTTTCCCATCTTGCGGCAGACAAGGAGGTGCCCCACAGGCATCTGGGAGCTGGTCCTCAAGCTCTCACCTGTGCCCCATGGCGCCTGGGCCCCCTCCGGCTCAGCAGGCCCTCCTGAGCCCCAGGCCAGGCCTTCAGTACGCAGACAGCTCGCGGGGTCAGGAAGGGCTTGCGCGGGTTGCACAGAACCCCGTCTCTGTGTAACGGCCAGCTCTCGGCCCTAATCTGGCCCTATGGGCTCAAGCAGGACAGACCTCCTGCCACCGTTTCCCACACCGCCAGAGCCCTGAAGACTTGACTGTGCCCTGTCAAAACGACTAGCTGAGCCGGCAGGCTCACCAGGGCTTGGGGGTTCATATTACTGCTCCCCACTCAGACACACGGGCTAGCTCTCTTCCATCCTGCCCCCCCACCCACCCAAGGGCGGGCTCTCCCCGCTTCTCAGGGGGCTCTGGGCCGCCCCTCACCAGGCGGATGTCGTCCTGCGGCCTCAGCAGCTCCACCATGAGATGCAGGTGCTGGCTCTGCTCCTGCTTCCTGGGGCTCTGGGGCCCATGCCCATCATCCGTCTGGTCCCCGTGGGGCTGTTCTTCACCTGGGGGTCTCTCCACCACCTCGGGGCCAGCCTCAGCTGCTTCTCCCTCGTCCTCTCCATCCTGCAGTCTCAGGACAGCCCCGCGAAGGACTGCGAAGCTCTGCCTGGCAGGGCAGCAGGGAAGCCATCAGGGTCCCTCGTACCCCTCAGGACAGGTGCATCCAAATCACCCACCAGGCTTGTTAAAACGGGGGTTGGGCGCCATCCCTGGAGAGTCAGTAGGTCTGGAGTGGAGGCCTGAGAATGTGCATTTCTAACCGGTTCCCAAGTGCTGAGGCCAGCCCATTTGGGGAACTACAGTCTTGGAGGCTCTCAAGCCCTCAACCCACTTGTCTAAGGGTTGGGGGCGGGCAAGGGTTGCTCCCTTTCCTTTGTACCTGCCTAACTCAGGAGATGCTGTAAACTTGGTGGTGACCCAGGAGTCCTCGGGCCCTGTTGTCTCAACCTGCCCTTTGGTTTGTGACTACGGGCCTGAGCCAGGGTCCACGATGGTGGTGACCAGGGGGAAGATGGAAGCAAAGGCAGCCAAGTCAGTGCTGCAAGCCAACTGCGCCCACCAGCCGTGCCCACTGGCAACACCGCCCCACAGATTCAGGAGTTGGCTTTGGCTGCGAGTCCTCCAGGGTGGCAGTGGCCAGGCCTGGCAGCTGGATGTGGGTGTCTGTGTTGGGGAGAGGTGCTCACCTTCGCTGGAGCCGGCTTCCCCGCTTGGATGCCTGGTCCTGCTGAGAAAGCAGCCCCCAGGGCAGAGTGAGGCGGGCAGTGGCAAGGACTCTCCTCTCTGCTCTCAGGGTGCCATCGCCCCCCCCTCCCAACTAGGGACTGGAACCAGGAAAGGTGTCAGGTCCCTTCCCACCCCAGTCCACTCCGCACCCGGAGGCACTGGGGGAGCCTGGGCCCAGGTCCAGGTGGGGCAGCGTGGGGTGAGAGTGGGTGGGGGTGCTGGAGGTGTCCAAGGGGTTGGCCCAGATCTGGGCCTGGAAGTGGGTAGGGCCTCTGCAGTCTGGGCTGGCGCTTCGGGGTTCCAGATCTTTGGTCTGAGTTCCTGGGAGCCTCAAGACCCCCTCCCAATCCCCTCCAGCGTGATACTTGGGGTCCCCCTCCCCGCACCCCCAGGCTCAAGGGGAGACTGGCCGTGGGCAGGACGCGCTCCCCCAGGCGCAGCTGGCAGCCAACTGCGTGGGCCGGACCACGGCAAAGCCAGACTTACCGTGGGCCCCACAGGCGTGGAGTGGCCGCTGGTCGGGGGGGAGCGGCTCACGGTGACCAGGGCCATGGGGCCTGGCCGGGGACACCTGGGCCGGTCCGGGCACTTTGCCCTCCCACAGCTCTACGGACAGTCCCTGCCCCGCAGGACCAGGAAGGAGAGATCGGAGCCACCAGGGCCTGGCACCTCCTCGGGGGCGGCCCTTAAAGGGCCAGACACTCGTCCAGCCGGGCCTGCGGAGCCAGCGCGAAGCGGCTGCCGCCCCTCCCTTCGCGTCTCCTCCGGTTCGGCCGCCTCGCCCCCGCCCCCGGACACGTTGGGGGCGGACCCGGGGCGGGGCGCAGGTGCGGAGCGCGGCCGGGTGGGAAGTGTCCAGAGGTCCTGCAACTTGCGGCCTTCGTTCCCGGGTTGGGTCCCTCCTCCGGGGAGGCGCCCCTGCCCCTGCCCTCCCGGCTCCGCCCACTTAGGTCACCTGAGTTCTGCTTTGGACCTCAACCGTGCTACTACCTAGAAGAGTTGGGACCTAGGGAAGCAGGACTGGGGACACAGGTCTTGGAGAGGATCAGACACAGTCTTAAGTTGGGGGGGGACCCCAAAATTATTTCTCCTTGCTGATTGGCCCTTCTGCACGAATCCTTGGGAGACATGCAGAGCTTCAGGGGAAATCAGGCGGGATTTAGAACTGACCCCCCGTAGCTCACAGGGGACCCTCAGGGCCACCTTGGAGGTGCGCAGGGCAGAGCTGCAGCAGAGGGAAGTGACTTGTCCAAATCACTGGGATAGAACATGCTGGAGTCAGTGCAGGAATCCAGGCCTGGCGTGCAGGGGGCTCCTCCCAGATGGCTGGCAGTAGTCTGGAGGCCCAGCCTTTCCCCCCCTCAGACAGGAGCACAGGTGGGTTCTGGTAAAGACCCAGTGAGTCACAGGAGGACTCCAGGGAATTGATGTTAATGGAGCACCTACTCTGTAAGGGACTTGACATATGTGGGTTCATTTCACCCTCCCAACAGCCCTGGGGAGTGGGAGGCGGTCTCATTTTACAGCTGAGGAAACTGAGGCTCGGAGAAACTGAAAGGGCTACAGCCAGGATTCAAACCCAGGTCTGCAGCCATTGCCCACAGCATCCACCCTCAATGTCACCTCCCCACCTTGTCTCCCCATTGAGCAGAATAAGCCTGCTGCTCAAAGTCTCTTTATTTCCACCTAGGTCTCCAACGCAAGTCCACCTCCAGGGCTCCAGGCCCCAAGCTTAGCAGCAGAGAGTTTATAAATAAATAAGTTACAAAAGCAGGTGGGGCAGCAGCCCAGACAGCCCTCCCAGGGGCCGGGTGCTCAGTGCTCTGTGAGCGAGAGCTGCAGGATCCTCTGCAAGTCCTCCTCCTCCTGCTGCCCCCGTCGTTCCTGCTCCTCGTGCTCCCTCGAAGACAACTCCAGGGCCAGGCGGAGCTGCTCCTCAAAGCTTGGTGGGGCTGGGGCCGGGGGGGTCCTGTGAGGGGATTCTGGGCCGTTGGGCTCTGTGGACATCCGCAGGCTTTCTTGGAGGGCCCTTCCAGACAAGGCGTGAGAGGAAGGGCAGACCAGTGAGCGCTCAGGCTGGGGAAGAAGGCTAAGGGCAGGATCATGGCTATGGAGGACAAGGGCAAGGACAGGGTGGCTGGGACCCAGAAGACCAGAGAAAAGAGACAAGGCGAGGGGCCCCGTCTCCCCCATCCTCACGCTGCCTTCCATGGTAGGCAGCACTGCTTATGGAAGGTGGCCTTGGAGAGGGCATGGGATCCCGGGCCTAGTGCCTCCCCACTACCCGCCGCCACCAGCCAAGGACCCCCTGGCTGGCAGGGTCCTCGGGGCAGGGCAGGCTGAGACACTGTCCTAGTAGGTCCTAGAGGGCCTCACCGCTCCAGCTGAAGCTGCTCCTCATAAGCGGTGGCCTGGGGAAGAGGGTGGGCACCAGGCCGGGTGTTAGTCAGGGCTTCCCAGACGGTCACCTGCAGCAGACGAAGCCCGGAGCTGTCACGCCTGCCACCCGTGCCAGCACCCAGGCGGGCCGGCCCCTGCCCGCGTCCCACCTGCTCGGCCTCCGCGCCCGCCTCCAGCAGGCTCTGCCGGATGGCAAACTGGAGCAGGTCGTCATCCTCGTCGCGAAGGGGCTCGCTGCGCTCTGTGCCCAGCACGCTGTACCCCTCGGGCACCTCAAACACGGCGGGATCCACCTCACACGGGAAAGGGCTCCCTGCGCGGGAGAAGGGCCACGCTCAGCCCCGGGGCTCGGGGACCAGGGAGCGGCGCAGCCCGCCTCCCTGCCGCGGTACCTGAGGCTGGGCCGCCAGGGCCAGGGGCCGGCACCCACACTGAGCTCAGGGGCTCGTCACAGCCACACAGGTTGCTGAAGGTGATGCGGGCATTGAGCACGTGGAAAAGGGGAATCTCTGTGAAGAGACAGCGGGCCTGAGCCACCGGGGCCAGCGGCCGGCCCCCGTCCCCAGGAGCTGCCCAAGGGCCCCCGGTGCCCCAGGCCACCCCTCACCAATCTTGACTGGGAAGCCGGGGGGAAGGCGCAGGGTGATGAAGTCACGCAGCTTGGCAAAGTGAGCGTTGCTGATAGCCATCAGGTCAATGATGGGCGTCACCTGGTCACCCAGGGAGAGCGGGTGCTCCTCACTCAGCCAGAGCGTGGCCTTGAACCTGCACAGGACGTGAGTCAAGGAACCTCTGGCGGCCCCTCTGTTAAGACCCACCCAGCCTGGACACCTGCCTTTACTCACACTCTCTGCCAAGACTGCGTTGCCCTCTTGTCTGCTCAGCTGTCCCGCCTGCCTTCCCCAGGAGCGTATGTCCTTCTGGCCCTACTGCCCGAGCTGCCCCCCAGACCCTGGGCCCAGGCTGGGGCCTATGGTAGCCTCAACTCGTCTGGATGCGGAGTCTACCTGTGGTCCCTGGACAGTGCTGGGCCCACCGTAAGCTCTATGTCATGGCTCATCAGATCCTCCCAGTGCCCTTGTGAGCAGGGGGACAAGTGTGACTGTTATTTTACTGAGGAGAACAGACTCTCGGAGGGGAAGACATTTCCTGGGGCCACGGAGTCAGGAGATGGCAGCGCTGTGAGCCCTTCCCCTTTGCCATAAGCTGGCCTCCAGCAGGTGCTCATTCAATTGAACAGAAAGCCATAAATGGGCGGTGCTGCCCATTCATTCATTCACCAGACAAGAGTAACCAGTCCTCTGGGCCAAGCCCCCGAGCTGGTGCTAATAACCACGGATAAGACAGACCTTGCTCCTGGACCCAAGGAGGAGAATCTAGCAGGAAGCCAGCTGGGTGAGTGGGTCCCCCACTCTGGTGGGCCCCAAGTGTGACAGGAGTCTGCAAGGGCTCAGGGGGACCAGGCAGGGTCCCCGTCCCTGAGGGAAGTCCCAAAGCCAGCTCCAAGACCTCACCTCTGTACTTTGCTGGACATCTCAATGGGGCGGCCAATGTTCCTCGACTCCAGGCTGAAGTTGGGATCGAAGTATTCACTGGGGGAAATGGCTGTGGGGTTGGTGGGGCTGGCGGCCTGCTGCACAGGAGCCTGGGAGGGCCCCATGAACAGACTTAGTGCTCAGGAGGGTGCCTGCCTGGCCCTGCCCACCGGCCCCCTGCCCGTGACCCCCCCACCTGGGGGCCTGGCTCACCCCGCTGTGGGAGGAGTGCTGCTGGGCCATCCCGAGGAAGGACTGGAATGGAGTCTTCCCTCCTAAGGAGAAAGGGTGGGAGCCCATGAGGAGACTTTGGGCCACTGCCCCCAGACTGCCCCCCCCGTCCACTCTGGGAGCCTCCTGTCGGGTGGGAGACAGAGCACATGGGAATGGGGAGGCCTCCCAGCTTGTCCCAGACGTTGTGGCCCTAACCCCAGACCAGGGTGACCCCAGCATATGGTGTGACTGGGCAGCAGGCAGGCGCACCTCGGTTTACCTTTGCTCCTCGACTTGTCCTGATCAGAGAGGTGCTCCGTGCGAGTGCGTGTCACCAGCTCCACATTGGTGGCACTGTATACCTGGGGAGCAGGGGGGACACGGGGGGAGCTGAGGGCTCAGAGCCTGTTTCCCACACTCAGCCTCACCAGTACAGGACCCACGTCCTCCTCTCTGCAGGGACAGACAGGATCTCGCCCCCCACTGTGGAGGAGGTGGCGGGGTCTGAACCGTGGGGGCTCAGTCATGAGGGGAAAGCGCTCCTCGTGTCATCTCGGTAACCCGAGTCGGGGCCCGTGCTGGGGTGATCCCTGTGTGCTCGGCGGGGCCTGGGCACTCGGGCCCCCCGGAGTTCCCATGGCCACACGGGGCTTCCAGAGCCCACGGGCTACTCTGTCTCTCCTCCACATGGGTGGGTGTGGAGAAGCAGTGGAGTTCCTGGGCCTTGTCTCCTACCCCAGCCCCCACCACTAGCCTCTCCTGCCTTGGCCTCGTAGCCGCTAACGGTTTCCATCTTCTCAGACCGCCAGCCCCAGATACCACATTTGTTCCTGAAACAGACCAAACAGGAGCTCGTGAGGATCCGGACCCCTCGGCCCTAGCCAGAGCCTTCCCTTCCAGAGACCCCTTCCAATTCGCCTTCCCACTATGAAACGCAAGGGCCTTGAGAGGATGCCTGGACAGCTGGGGACAATCAAACAGGGACTGGGGACTAAAAAGTACTGAGGAATTATCATTAATTTGTTAGGTGTGATAATGGTGTTGGGGCTGGTCTTATAAACATCCTTATCTGTTAGAGTCATGTGCACAAGCATTTACTGTTAAAGTGATATGACATCTGGGATGTGCTTTAAATAGTCCAGGAAGGGGCGCCTGGATGGCTCAGTTGGTTAAGTGTCTGACTTCAGCTCCGGTCATGATCCCGGGGTCCTAGGATCAAGCCCTGCTCAGTGGGGGCCCGCTCATCCCTCTCCCTCTGCCCCTCCCCCCACCTGTGCGCTCTCTCACTCTCTCTCTCAAATAAATAAAATCTTAAAAAAAAAAAAAAGTTTGGGGGCTCCTGGGTGGCTCAGTCATTAAGTGGCTGCCTTCGGCTCAGGTCATGGTCCCAGGGTCCTGGGATCGAGCCCCGCATCGGGCTCCCGGCTCAGCGGGAAGCCTGCTTCTCCCTCTCCCACTCTCCCTGCTTGTGTTCCCTCTCTCGCTGTGTCTCTCTCTGTCAAATAAATAAATAAAACTAAAAAAAAAAAAAGTTCAGGGAAGAGGCACCTGGGGAGCTCAGTCAGTTGA